CCCTCGGACTCCATGATTACATATAGCTGTGAATCAATAAAAATGAAAAGGGCTTCCCGATTTCCTCAACTTCTCTCCTCCTGATGGGTGCTTAGGCTTTTTTTTAATGCTCTATTATTACACACAGTGCTCTGATGAAAATCGCTGTGCATAAAGCTTTGTATTTTTAGAACATATTCCCAAATAAGGAATTCCTATGTAAAAGGATGCATTTAATTCTGAGGCCTCTGCAGCCAGTTAACAAATTGCTTTCCTGAAGTCTGCAGCAATTTAAACTCTTACCTGCAGCAGGAGAAAGCCCATTTTGCCACACATCTTTACCAGCTTGGAGCACCTTTTATTATATCCTTTATTAATTTGATGGGTGAAACTTTATTAATGCCTTTAGGCTGCTTTCCTTGATTACTAATGAGGTTAAACATTTCTTCATTTTTGAAGGCCATTAATATTTCTTCCGTGAATCGTTTTATATTCTTTCCCAGTCATCTATTAACATCTATTGCTTTTCTTAAAAAATTTGTGAGTGGTGTGTCTGTGTGTGTGTATAAAGGATATTAACATTTTAATGGATCAAAAAATTTTAAACATCAGCCCTGCGAAAGTAAACCATCGTATCAGCCATTCCCCAAATATATCTACTTCTCAGACTTGGCCACTTGCCTGGTTGCGTGTCGATGAGTACTCGGGATTGACCGGAAGGAAGGGGACGACGGTTGTCTCGGTCACCAGGGTGCTGTGGTTTTGCGTAGCAAGCCAGACTAGCCAGAGGAAAGAGCCAGAGATAGGATCTCATCACCACGGGTGTGCCACCACTCCTCTGAGAGCCGCGGCTCCCACATTACTAGGGAGACTCGGAGTAGCACACTCCGAAGCCGACAGACACAAAAGTTAGTATCGACAAATGTTTTATCAAGACAGTAGAAACTGGGCAAGTAACACTCAGGCTGGCAGCTTGTCGCTGCTCACTGATGACAAAGCTTAGCAGATAAAGCCACATGTTCAGTCACCTGCATCAGTCTCTCGCCTGTCAACTTCATCGTACACGTCCATGGCAAGTTCTTCAAACAAATGATTACTTAGCTGAAAGTAAGAACATATCAGGGACACAAGGGACAAGGATTAACACTCAGAGAATGAGCAGTAGTACAACGTATTCACCCATCTACCTCCAACATCTAATCCAAAGCCAGTGCCTACTTAGTGAACACCCACTGTTAATGAGACAGTAACATTTCCAAAATAGTACACTAGAATAGGCCCTCTAGAAATACCTGCCACCCACAGCAGCCTCCCACCCTCCCTCCCAACATGCAGGTAGGGATGTGCCATAAGGGAGACAAGAGGCATCTAAGGTGTGAATCTCAAAGCAGGTTCTGGGTCTCTGCTCTTTGGGGGTATCACCTTAAAGTCTCTCCTTCTGCTCTTTCCTGACAATGTTTGCCAAGTCCTCACCCCCATAAGGGATCATAAACCCTTGGTAGGATAAAGAAGGCAGCACATGCCATTTTGACAGGCTAAAACAGGTCACTGCAGGAAAACACCCTCAGCCCTTGGGGACATCTGTCTTCCTCCGCAGCAGTCCTCCAAGCCCCTCAAAACTCCCTGAGCGTCCCCAACCCAGGACAGCCTGTCTCATCAGTAGGCTGTCCCTACGAAACAGGCCCCACAGACAGGGGTGCCCACCTGGCAGCAACCAGGACAGGCTGCCCGAGACGAGGCGCAGCACCCCAACCCCAGCCCAGGCCGGCTTCGGCTCCCTCTGCACTTCCTCCCTTGTGAAACGCACCCTGCGTTTTTTCCCTGTTGGTGGCTGTTCCTTCTGAGTTGATTGCTTCCCCGCTCTGTGAGAACAGACACTGAATTCGTTCCATTCGCTACGGTTCCTTACACCCCGACACGGCACCCGGCACTGAGACGGGACTCAGTCAGCGGCCATTCACACACTGACCAGAAGGCATTTAATGCAGAATTTAAAGCTGGCTGCACAGACCTCATAGGAACTCATTAAAATGGGTATAACACATTGTCAGGTGACAAAAGCAGTATATAAAATTCTATACTTATAATTACATTTCAGTCAAAACAAAAAGATACGCATCTGAAAGAATTAGAAAAAGCAGACCAAAACTTTGAGCCTGAATCCATTAAGAATACAGTGAATGAGGAGGATTCCCCTTCTCTATTTTCTAAATTTTCCCTAGTGTGGTTATATTATATTTATAATTAAAAATAAACTCTGACAGAAGGGTGGGTATTAAAAAAAAATAAAAAACAAACTCTGAGAGCCTTTTGCTGGATAAGGTGGAGAAGGACTGGGAAATTGAAACTGCATCTCAAATACCCAGTCTCTTTCCTCTAAGGGGTTACAAACTAATGTTATTATTACTAACAACAACTACCAGAGCAATACCGCTCAGAGCTTATAGTCCAAGCACCTTGCTAACATCATCATATTAAATACAACACCTCTCTGAGGACAGGAACTACTATTATCCCACTTTACAGATCAGGATACTGAGGCACAGAAGTTAGTAGCTCATCTAAAGTCACAAAAGCCAGGAAGTGATGGACCTGAGACGCAAGTTGAAATCTCTCAAAATATTAACATTTACTAAGTCAAGAAATACATTAGTCTTATTACATTTCTCGCAGCTTTTCATTAGGGGGAGAGGAAGGAAGGAAGGAAAGGAGAGAGGGAGAGAGGGAGGGGAGGATGGGGATACTGTAGGATAAACTAACTGGCCCTGGTAAGAGGAGGAGCCCACAGGGCGTGGGGAGCTCACTCTTACTGAGCAGCTCTGATCTGCCACCCCTGCTGGGTCATTAGCTCCCTTTCTAGGCGAGGACACCAAGGCACAGAGGCTAAGAAGCTTGGCAGAGCTGAGATCCATGCCTGACCAGTATGACCCAGAGCCCAAGCTCTGGAGAGCTATACTCAACTTTGTTCCAGATATTTAGCTAGTGCCTGCTGCGTGCTAGAAGTATTACAGACGTAGCCCCAGCTTTCAGCCTCGCAAATGCAGAACAGGACAGTCAAGGGGAGCGTGGGTTTTATCTATAAAGTTTGAATTACTTAAAATAAAAATTGGCTTCCAGAGTGCAAGTAATTAAAAGGAAGTCATAGGCTATTTACTATCTGACTCGAAAGCTTATCATCTTAATCATCTTACTATATGAACTCCTTCATTTAAGAAAGGCAATAAAACACATATACACACAAAACCGCAGATACAGAACACAGAAACACCAAACAAATTGCATAAAATACATTTATTTCATATTACAGTTAAATGCTAGTCATGAGAAATTCATTTTATGTACTATTTAGAACTGAATATTACATGAAGTTCTAGTGAAGAGTCTTGTGTGAAAACGGGAATGAGGAGTAAGCCGGAAAGGAGGGGAGCTGCAAGTACAGAGTCAGGCTTTGGGAAAATTCCTACCCTCGCTGTGAAGGGGCTCAGATTTCAGCTACTTGCCTGATGGAAGGGAGGGAAGCTGGGAAAAGAGAACACTGCAGGCCAAAGAGAATTCCTGAAAGAGGGCTTGAAGGTGGCCTTGAAGGTGGCCTGACTGCTAACCTCTAAGAAGTATTTAAATGTACGCACCCCCACACACACACCTCCAGCCCCTCCCACACACACAATGGGAACCAGAAGAGAGGTGGGGCAAGAACAGAAGGGTGCCAGTTGGATGACGCCCTTAGAGGTTAAGAAAAGAAGTTAAGAATTTGGTTCTGATCTTGACAGCCATGAGAACAGCTGAGGTGGTTAGAATGGCTGGGGAAGCACCCTGGTGAGGCTTCCTCTGAGAGACATCATTCCCAGAGGAGCAGATTTCTCAGGGTCCTGACTAAGGCTGACTAAAGTGAGCCTGTGACCTGCAGGACTGGGCAAACTCTGAGCACAGAGCCCGGGCAGAACCAGCTCTTAAAAGTCTATGTTCACATAGCTCTGATGAACGGCGTGGGACGTGCACGACCATTATGACAGGGGCTGGACCCCAAAGGGCAGCCAGTCAATCTGCGGTACTCACCATTCCAGCATCAGCTTTCATCATTCTCTAGCATCCTAAGAGGCTACAGGAAGTAATCCCAAGAAGCGTGTCCCACTCCCTCGTTTACACTGAGAGAAACTAGGGAACTCATGGGGAGAAACTTCCTAATGTCATAGGCACAGTCCTCACGTTCAAAAAGACAGATAAAAATGGCATTATTTGAAGCAGAGAATAAATTGGATAAACTGAGTAGTACTTTCACTCTTTGATGGTACCGGATGGTCTGTCTCTGATTTAACATCCTAGAGCGTGGAACCAAGTCACCTGATGGACTCAGTAGAGGGCTGAAAACAGGTATTAGCGGGACACACGGTTTTCCACACTGGAGTTCGCTAGGCAAGAGAGATACTCACAGACTGAAGCTTCTTCTTAGCAGCTTTTGCCAGTTCAGACAAATCCAGGCTGCTAAGAAAACGTACAAAACTAATAAGCAAATAAGTAAAACCATTCTCATGAACTCTGTAGAAGATTAAGACAGCCAAGGGATTTGGGTATTAATTACAGTTCATGGACATGGTCAGAGGCCGAAATTCTACAGCCCAATAGTCAGTGAGGAAACTTGGAGGAGAACTTGGCGAAAGTAACCCCTAGAGATACCATAATCATGCAACATGGTAAAGAAAAAGATAATGCACCTACTAACTAAAAGACAAAAAACATTGCCAGGGTCGTCCCCAGGCCCTTTAGGGGAGAAGCCATAATTTCTGATGTATTAAAAAAAAACCAACCCACAACAGAAGAAAATTCAAAAAGGGGAGAATGCGAAAAACTAGAATGGCAAGACTACATCCGGAACAGCAGTTAATCATTTCATAAACTCTTGATGGTATTTGTGTAAAGGCAATTGGCTAAATGAGGGTTTCAGGTTCACTTCTGCAGCTGTGAATTCATCTGACCTTACAGACCAGGGGTCAGCAGATCAGAGCCCACTTTTTGTTCAGCATATGAGCTAAGCATAGTTTTATATTTTTAAGTGGTTGGGGGAAAAAAAAAGGCCAAAGAATGGTATTTCATAACATGTGAAAATTATATGAAGTTCGAATTTCAGTATCCAGAAATAAAATTTTATTGGAAAAGGCACGCCCTTCATTTACATAGTGTTCCCTGGATGCTGTCATTCATAAGTGGCAGAGTTGAGTATTTGCGGCAGAGGCTCTCACAAAGGGCCCAAAAAGCCTAAAATATTTACTAACTACCCCTTAACAACGACAATAACAATTTGCTGGTTCCGGTTATAGACAAAAGAGATACTTTCTCACACTAGAGAAATAGTCTGTGATACGTCTATAACCACAATACACTGTCACAGCTGGTTAAAACTGTGACGGTATCACTGACTCCCATTTTCTTATTAGCAAATTTGTTACTGGTACTCTTTCAAACTTAAGTTTTATATGGTGGTTTACTTACAGCCGTCTTATTTCCAAATTGTATAGCCGTAAAAGAGAAAAATGTATGGGCTTTGTTAAATACAAAATATAATACACTTAAAGACTCTACATCCAAGGCAATATTAGTGACAGATAAAATTGATTGGTATTGCAACGGCCTTACCTGTCTGCCATTTGAGGTATTATAAAGTGCTGTCCATTTTTGTGATCTGAAACAGAAACCAAGCCAAAGTTTTGTTCATACAAATACTGTTAAGATTTGTAAAGGAACACCACTATTATTTTCTCAGTTTACGACGTGCAAAATTAGTATCTTCCCATAATTATGAACTATGTGGGGAAACAGAAATTGGCAGGCTGGCTACAAATTCCCAAAATCTGGCCAACAGCAACGATCATTTCCTCCTTTTCTTCTGGTACAAAGGTGATCTTGACATCATTAGACTGAAGGCTAATGAGGCTCACCCTAGTTCTTACACTTTGTTCTTCCCCAGTATAACTGACGATCTTCAGCCATGGGAAGAACATTGAGGGAGCTGAGTTAGCTCAGAGCAGACTTCCATCAGCTCTCTGTGTGAAACGGTGGAGCTTCCTTGAGCTTTGGTGGCTCATCTTCAAATTAATCAATCAGCACACAACAGTCAGGGCTGGCTCGGGTGGTCTCGGCAGACCTGGGCAGGGGCTCCATCTCCTTTAATGCCTCCTGACTGAGTCCTACTCAAGCTTCTGGACGCCACTGATCATGTGCCAATGAAAAAAGCCACTATGAGCATTCACATCCATGTTTCTGTGCAAAGGTAAGTCTCTACTTCTCTCAGGTAAATACCTAGGACTGCTGGGTTAGAGATAAATGTACATTTAACTTGGGGGAAAAAAAACTGCTTGACTTTTTTCCAGAGAAGCCTATCATTTTGTCTTCCAACCAGCAACACATGAGAGTTAACACTTCTTCCACATCTTCCCCAGCACTTGGACTGTTGGTATTCTTCTCTTTTTAATTTGTCACTCTAATAGGTAGGTAGGGGTATCTCACTGGGTTTTAACTGGCATTTTCCTAATGGCTAAAGAACTTCTCTCATCATGTGCTTATTTATCTGCCATGTGTATGTTATCTTTGCCCAGTTTTTATTGGGTTGTTTTCTTACTGTTGAGTTTTAAGTATAAATATTCTAGATTTAAGACCTTTGCTGGGTATGTGATTTCCAAATACTTTCTCCCCGTCTGTGGCCTATCTTCTCATTCTCTTAACTACAGTCTTTACAGAGCAGAAGCTTAAATTTTTGAGGAAGTCCAATTTATCAATATTTCCTTCTATGGATTGTGCTTTTGGTGTGACAGTTAAATACTTTGCAGAAACCAAGATCACTAAGATTTTCTCCTGTGTTTTCTAGAACTTTTATAGTTTAGGTTTCACATTTACATCTACTCCATTTTGAGTTAGTTTTTATACAAGGTGTGAGGTTGAAGTTGAAGTTCAGTTTCATTTGTCTGCATATGGATATTCAGTTGTTCCAACACCATATATTGTACTATCCTTCCTCCGTTGAACTGCCTTTTGCAACTTTGCAAAAGTCAATTGAACATATTTGCGTGGGTCAATTGTGTGGGATTCTCTATACGGTTTTATTGATCTATATGGCCATCTTTTCACCATACCCACTGTCTTGAGCACAGAAGAGCTTTACAGCAAGTCTTAAAATTGGGTGGTGTGATTCCTCCCATGTGATTACTGTTCTTTTGCAAAACTGTCTTGGCCATTCTGGTTCCTTTGCCTTTCCATGTAACTTGCCTTATGTCACTGTTTAGGACCTCTGGTGCAATGATGAATAGGAATGGTGAGAGTGGACATCCTAGCCTGGTTTCGGATTTTCAGACAAAAGCATTCAATCTTTCATTATTTAAGGACGATGTTAGCTGTGGTTTTTATTTTTCTTTTGCATTTTATTTTTGATTGAAGTACAGTCAATTACAATGTAGCTGTGGTTTTTCAACTGATACTCCTAATCAGATTAAGGAAGTCCCTCCTATACCTAGTTTGCTGAGGTTTTTCTTTTTTTTTTATTGTGAAGGGATGTTGAATTTTGTTAAATGCTTTTTGTGCATCAACAGATAAGATTATATAGTTTTCCTGTTTTTAGTCAGTGTAATGAACTACATTAACTGGCTTCCAAATGTTTAATCAGTCTTGTGTATCCGGAAATCCCACTTTATGCTGTATTTTTCTTTTTATGCTTATTGGATTCAATCTGCTAACACTGTTGAGAATTCTGGTGTCTGTTCACAAGGGCTTTTTTTTTTTTGCACCATCTTTGCTGAGATTGATATCAGGGTAATGCTGGCCTTGGAAAGCAACTTGAGTATTCCCTCCCTTTCTGTTTTCAAAAAAAAAAAAATCATGTAAAATGGATATTATTTCTTCTTCAAATGTTTGGTAGAAAAGTTTCATTTTATGTGCAAAACTTGAAACACTTAAAACTTAACACTTAAAAATACCTGCTAAGAATTGTAATTGCGCCGCCTCCCTGGCTCCCTTGTCTTCGGAGACGGCCCACACTTTGACTATGGATCTACTTTTTTTAACCTGAGCATCCAACCCCCACACCTTGTGGCTTCTCTCTTGCCTTCTGAAACAGCCTACATTCTATGTAGTACGTATCTCTCTAAACGAATCTACCTTTACTCAAAAGAAAAAAAAAAAGAATCATAATTGCAAAGCTAGCAAGCCATGTGAGTCATAAACCATAGTTATTGTACTGCTGGATGGCAATACCACTTCAGTTGGTCACAGTATTTTCCAGTGAAATCATCTCGGCTGGGGTTTTCTTTAATGGAATGGTTTTAAGTACAAATTCTTTAAAATACAGGATTATGTATTTACATTATCCCTTTCTTCTTGGGTAGGTATTGGCAGTTTATGGCTTTCAAAGAATTGGTTCATTTTCTCTAAGTTGTCCAATTTATGCACACAGTTATTTATAGGATTTTGCACTACTCTTCAACGTCTGTGGGGTTTGTAGTGATACCCTTCTATGTGTATTCCTTCCTTTTTTCTTTGTCAGTATGGCTAGACATTTATCCATTTCACTGATCTTTTTGAAGAATCAGCTTTTGGGTTCACTGATTTCTCCCTACTGTTTTCCTCTTTCACTTTCATTGATTTCTATTCTTATCGTTATTATTTCCTACCTTCTGCTTGCTTTGGGTTTATTTTGCTCATCTTCTTCTAGTTTCTTGAGGGTTGGGAAGCTTAGATTAAGGATTTGAGACCTTTCTTCTTTGCTAATGTAATAATTTAATGTTACAAAATTTCCTCTAAGCGTTGCTTTAGCTGCATCCCACAAACTTTGAATGTTGTGGTTTCATTCTTGTTCATCTGAAAATATTTTCTAATTTCCATTGAGACTTCCTCTTAGACCCCTGGATTATTTAGAAGTATGTTGTTTAATTTCCAAGCATTTGGGTATTTTCCAGTTATATTTTATTTATTTCTAGTTTAATTCCATCATGGTCAGAGAATATACTTTATAGGACTTTAACTCGTTTAGATTGATTGGCTAAGGTTCTTTTCTTATGGCCCACCATATGATCTATCTTGGTGAATGTTCAACCGCGTACTTGAAAGGAACGTATGTTCTGGTGCTGTTAGGTGGAAGATGCTGTAAATTGTCAATCAGGTGCAGTTGGTTGGTGGCTTGGTTTCAGTTCAACATCCTTGCTGGTCTTCTACCCCTGGTTCTGTCTATTACTAAATGAGGACCACTGAGTCTCCAACAACAATTGTGGACTTGGCCTTTTCTCCTTTCAGTTCTAGCAGATTTGATCCGTGTATTTTAAAGCTCTTGCTGGGTGTATCCCCACTTAGAACTGTTGTGTCTTCTTGGTGAGTTGACCCTTTTAATTATCGTGTTGTGTCCCTCTCTATCCCTGCTAATTTTCTTTGCTTTGAAGTCTACTTTGTTTGATATTAATATAGCCACTTCAGCTTTCTTTTACTTAGTATTATTTTACACCTTTCTGATTTTTAATTTACCTATAATATATATTTAAAGTAGGTTTCCTGGACACGGCATACAGTTAGGGCTTGTTTTTTAATTCCATTCGGACACCTTGTGCTTTTAAATGGTGCATTTAGATCATTAACATTTAATGTAATTATTGTTATATTTGGATTTAAGTCTATGATTTTATTATTTAGTTTCTCTTTGGGTTTTATTTTTTGTTCCTCTCTTTCCTCTCTTTTCTTGAATCAAAATATCTTTTGATTATTTGGGTAGTTTTTAACATTCCATTTTAATTTATCTCTAGCGTTTCTGACCAGGTATCACTGCATAGTCTTTGAATGGTTGTGCTGGGGATTCTTATAAATATAACTTTTTACAATCTACTTAGAAATAATATTTTACCATTTTAAGAAGAATGCAGATTTTTTTACTTCCATATTTCTTTTACCCTCTCCCCTTTCTGTTGTGATTGTCACATGTATTACACTGACATACGCTGAAAACCTCACCAGACAATGATATAACTTTTGCTTTAAATTGTCATATATATCCTAAAAACTTAAGAAGACACACAGTCTATTACATTTATCCAGATATTTATCATTACTGTTGCTCCTTCATTCCTGAAGTTCCAAGATTCCCTCTGGTATCAACTCCCTTCCACCCACAGAACTTTCTTTAGCATTTCTGGTAGAGCAACTAATTCTCTCACTTTCTTTCATCTTAAAATGTCTTCATTTTGTCTTCATTCCTGGAGGTTATTTTCACTGGAAATGGAGCTCTGAGTTGGTAGTTATTTTTCTTCAGCACTTAAAAAAATACCATTCTACTTCCTTTTCATCTCCATGGTTTCCGATGAGAAATCCAGTCGTTCAAATAATTATCATTTTATATGGTGTATGTCATTTTTTTTCCTTGGCTGCTTTCAAGATGTTTTCTTTCTTGGTTCTTTTGCAGTTTGATTTTGATGTATCTGAGTGATGACTTCTTTGTGTTTATCCTGTTTGGAGTTCTCTGAGCTTCTTGAATTGTAAATTTATCTCTTTTGCCAAATTTAGAGCGTTTGGCCAATATTTCTTCAAATATTTTTTCTGCACCACATTCTGATCTCTTTCTGGGAGTCTGATGATATAAAAGTGACCTTCTGATTTTGTCCCATAGGTCCCTAAGGCTCTTCTCAGTTTCTTTTTTATCCCACTCTTTTTTCTCTCTTGCTCAAACTGGATTATTTGTAGTGATCTATTTTCAATTCACTGACTCTACTCCTTCTCATCTCCATCTGCTATTAAGCCCATACAGTGAGTTTGAAAATTTTAGTTACTGTTTTTTTTTTTTTTAGTTCTAACATTTCTATTTTGTTCTTTTCTGTATCTCCCTTTCTCTGCTGAGTCTTTCTATTTGTTTGAAGAATGTTCACGCTTACTTCTTAGAGCATGATCTTACTATCTGCTTTAAAATCTTTGTCTGATAATTCTAACATCTGAGTCATCTGGGGTTGACACCAGCTGACTACCTTTCTCCTTGCAAGTCTTTGGGATTTTCCTGGTTCTTCATATGTCAAGTAATTATGGATGGTATCCTGGACATTATGCATATTATGTTGTGGAGACTTTGGGAGTCTTCCTTAAATCCTATGGGGAATGTTAATATTTTGTTTTAACAGGCAACTGATCAGATTAGGTTCTGCCTCCTGGGCCAAGTGGTGAGAGAACTGAGGAAAAAACAAAAGCAATCAGGATTCCCTTCAGGTTCTTGGTCAGAGATTTAGGCACCTGTGTGTGACCACTGCTGTTGCCACTATTGAAGCCAAGGACTGCCTAGGGGCCAGGATGAGGGAAACTGGAGGAAAAGGGAGAAAAAACCTCCAGGGAGTTCCCTGACTCTCTGTCCTGGAGTCCCATTTCCTGCTCCTCAGACCAGACAGAGAAGAATTCTTCGCACCTGATATGCAGTTCCAGGTTTGGGGCTGTCCAGGAGGCCAGATTAGAAGTAAAATAAATAGGACACTTACCACCAGCCTGGTAGCACTTTAAGCTCCCTAATCCACCTGTTAGAGTCCTCAGATGGCCACTCAATGCATTTGGTCCAGGGTTTTAATTGTGTTCAGCAGAAGAGACATGGAAAGGTGTGCTTAAACTCCATCTCACTGGGAACTGGAACCACACTAGGGGCTCGTAACTCTATTGTACAACCAGGGTGGAGAACCACTGTATACATGTACGTAGATACTCTACATCAGGGGTTGACAAACCCCTGTAAAGGGCCAGAAAGTAAGTATTTTAGGCCTTGTGGCCATATGGTCTCTGTTGCAACCTCTCAACCTACTCAACTCTGCTGCTACATGCCAAAGGAGCCATGGGCAATGTGTAATATGGGTATGGCTATCTTGCAATAAACACTTATTTAAAAAAAAACAGGTGATAGGTTGATCTGACCTACGGATCATGGTTTGCTGACTCCAGTTGTACCTCACGAACAAAGCTGGTTATCAGTAAAGTTCACTTTTTGACTTTTCCCCATTCCTTAGATAGCGGAATTCTTCAAATAACTACGAAAGTTACTGCTCTGCATTTCCATTCCTACTCCCATTATGGACAAGAACTGTGGTGCATATTCAGTTTTGGTTCTTTGATTCTTGAAACAGTCCCTACTGCAGAGCTGAAGTTTTAAAAACTAAAATTCAAGATGTGACCGATTTTACATATTTGACACATAACTGAAAATGCTATAGTTATCATTTCAAAGAGAAATCCTTATTCACAATGTTCCCAAGGAAACCTTAGAGCACAGGTCATAAATAATAGTGCCCCAACTTGTTTTTCCGGAGACTGACCAAGCGGAGGTGCGGAGGGGCGGCTGTCCTTTCACTCACCTGGTTTCCTGCCACAGAGATAGAAGGCTAGTCTGTCAGTCAGCTCGTACTGTATTTCTACAAGGCGTTCTGCCAGCTCATGGTGCCCTCCTTGCCTACCAAGAGAAAACAAAGGACCATTTATAATGCTTGCTGGCCACCGGCTCTGGAATAGGAAAGTACAGAGACGTCCCCTGAGATACCTGAGTGATTTAGCAAATGTGACTTCTAAGAGTAATCAACCTTTTTGTATGAGGTAATCTGTCAAGGTCTACTTTGAGTCCCACCTTTATAAAACTGTTTTCACAATCTCAACTTCTCCCTTCCCTTTATTAATTTAGAAGACAGAATATTTAATAAAGAATCCAAGGACTTATGAGAGGGATAAAAAATAACTTCATCTAATGAAGTCGAAAATAAGATTAATCAATGGTCTAGAGTAGAGGTTCTTAAAATTTTTAACTAGAGTGTTTTAAGAAATATACAGATGTCCAGGACCCACCCTTGGAAATTCTGAGTCAGTAAGGATGGGATTGAGTGTGGACATCAAAATATTTTGAAAAAGGTCCTCCCCACCAGATGCTTCTCATGCACCAGTCTGACTTCTAGATGAGAGTTCAGTAACCACCTCAGGGTCTTCAATTCAGGCAGTGACAGACCAATCTAATGCGTAGCTAGCTCTTATCTCCTTGTCTTCAATTTCCATAATGGAAAATATTAAGTTTGCCTTTGAAACAAATACTTAAGCTGCTTGAAATCCTGTTAGTAACAAGGTATACAAATAAATCATTAAACAGAGAGGCTACTACATGCAAAGTATGAGAGGAAGCTCCAAATAATAGTAAGTATCATTTACTGAGGGCTCTCTTCCTCTTAAAAGATGAAATCTGGTTTCTGCCAGTTTCTTTTCCCATAAACAAGGCACTACAAAATATTCTCCAACCTACCAGTTCTCTACCTAGTCTCCAATCTTTGACTTCTTTCTCATTTTTTAACATCTGTGACGTCAGGAGTATCCTACAGTTGACGATACACCATCATTTAATTGGCTGAGTTTTTCTTTTTTAGTGGTGCATGAAATAATGATGACCCGTATAATCAGGGGAGTGTTAGACCTGATGAAATACTGTATTCCTCAATACCTTAGCTCTTATTACTCCTGACACACTCCGCTCTACCCAGTCAGGTCCCCTGCTGTGCCCAACATGCCCTGTCCATCCCTCCCTCCTGAACTTGACCCATGTCCTTTTTCCCACCTGGAATAACTTAGCTTCTCTTCACACAACTAAATCCAACCTACTCTTCCAAGACCACCTAAAGACATTTCCTAATGATCCGGGCCACAGTGGAGAAATCCTGTATATGTACCCATTCTGGTAATGAGTCCTACATTATCTCGCCTCATTTAACTCTCACATGCATGTATGAATCCTCTCCTCCATGAGAGAGTAAATTCGAGGAGGGCAGAATTTTGTCATTTCAGCCATTTTATCCTCTGCAGAGCAAAGTATATATAGTTCTCTGCAGTTAACACAGTTAATCTGGAGAAAGAAGGAAACATGATCCATCCTCTATCACTTGAACAATATTCAAGACTGATCTTGTGGATTTATTTTTTCCCCCAGCATTTCACAGCCAAAATTTTCAAAGAAAAATTTAAAGAATTTTACAGTCAGCACCTAGATGTCCACTACTTAAATCCTGCCATTAACATCTTACTATACTTGTTTAATCACATATCTATCGTACAGATTTGTTTCTAAGTTCATGTAATGACTGAAAGTATTAAAAAACTGAGAAGTAGGTTCTGTGATTCTTTATACTTGACTTGGACTCCAACTATGTCTCAAATACCACTGTGTTAGAAAGGATTATGTGAAAGACTGGAAGCAAAGCATGCTGGTTACTGGTTCTACCTTCCCTGACTTTGCTTGGTTCTAAGATCCTATGTGTCTGAAATGTCTTCATCTGCAGAATAATAATAGCGTAAATCTTAAAAGGAGTTACATGTTAATCGTACACAATTTAGCCACTTAGCAATGAATTGCATACAACATACATAAGCCCAAACAGAGGGAGGTGACAAGAGTCTAGTCTCTTACCTGGCATAATCAACAGGAGTTTTCCCACTAGCATCCTGTGTGCCTGGGTCGGCTCCATACACTGCCAGTAATTCTGCTTGTAAAATCTGCCCTGCTTTGGAGGCAACGTGGAGTGGGGTGTTTCCTTTCTCCTAAGAATCATTAGTAAAAAGTGTACTTTAAAAAGCAAACTAAGTAAATGAAGGGCTACATGAATACAACCGATTAAGGTTCAATTTAATATCTGAATCAGTTCATGCTTTCTTACAGGGTGAAAAAAGTTGGCTTGTGCTCCTAAAGATAACAGCCTCAAACAGGTTTCAAGATTCCCTGTTCTCACGCTTGAATGGAGTTGCTGAAAAACACACAAACAAGAAAGAATGTTTGTTAAAAGCGTAAAGAATGATGTACTAGAGCAGCTGGCAGACCACTGTAATATATGTTCACAGCAGTAGTTCATAATCTGTATTTAGCTTAGTTATGGGGGATGAAACAGTCTCTCCCTTATTGGTCACAACCACCCCAGGGCTCTAAGGCGGGGGTCAGGCCCATTTTACTGATGAGGAAACTAGGGCTGCAGAGGCTGACCTGCCCAAATGCACGCTTTCGTTTCAGTGGCACAACCAGATCTTGAGTGAGAGGCGCTGTGAAGAGGTGGCTGAGCATGGCTCTCAAGTCTGATAGACCTGAATTTCAAACCATATACACTTCAAGCTGTGTGACCGCTAGGAAGTTCTTTAAGCAATCTGAACCTCACTTTCTTCATCTCAAATGATAATAATGCCCGCTACTCATAAGGTTACTGAAAGGAGTCAACGATACATACGGAGCCTGGAACGTAGGAAATGCTCGAAGAATACAGCTGCTATTACTATTATTGCCGTTCGTTGCTGTTATCAAACCTAAGGCTTCAGGGTGTCGCATCCTGTACTGTGTAAACCACAGGATTCTGCCTTATACCACACCTCTCCACAGCACTGTTCCTAGCCTTGTATACGACGATTTAATGAAGCCTTTCAGGGTGACAGACAGGCCTGCAGTATGCCAAGTTCTGTACCATCGCAGAAAAGCTCTTACACATTCAGAAGATGAGCTGCCTTCCTTCAAGCCTAACCTAGAACTGCCCCAAATACAGTAACCCTTTATATAGGAATGGAGAAATCTACTCTAACATCTGTATCCAAGTCTTATTTTTTTTAATCAATTACTTTTTTAAACTGTATTAAAAAAAAAACACACATACCAAATCTTACTAATGAATGGAAGCAACCATCATACACATTTCTGAAAGTTTAAAATTCTAAATTGTGAGTGCCTATTCTGTGTGTGAGTATTTGCCAAAAGCAGTGCTTTGAAAATAAAGATGGACATTTTCATGGCATCTCTCAAAAACATGCAAA